TCTCATTCGGTCGCTGTCTCTTTGAATTTTTGATTTCGACTTCTTCGGTTTTGGGTTTTCACATGACTTAACGTGAAAATTACACATACTGGCAAAATGTCCATCATGTCTGCACTTGTAACAATAACCGTTAACTGCATAACACCGATGGTATGTGAAAACATTCAATGTCTTACCGCAATATTTGCACAGAAAGTCTAAACAGGTATCTGCTTTTCTCATCGGAAACGGATGTCAATTTCTGCAAGGCTGGTAATTCCAAGGTTCTCCAATTTGTTGATTCTGAAGGTATTCATTATGCTAGTTTGGGGGAACTAGCTCAGGATCGTGCCGAGGGTAACCTCGACCAATATATAACCGGGAGTTTTCCAGCTATAGTAATTCAAAGACGGAATACCAATACTTTAAACTTTACTAGCAAGGTCCGGACAGTACCAGACCTAAGACCTAAACTTACTTCAAAATAACATACAAAAGTATATATAAAAACAGTATCTATAGAAAAGGATCAGTGTCCAAAGGATTAACTTTTTATCGTCAAGGTGGTTTCCATTACGACAAACATATATTTAACAATAGAATTAATTAAACACAAAGAAATGCAAAAGGTTAGATAAACGGATTAACAAATTGTCACTTTAGCACTGAACTGGCTTTATTTCTACTTCACATGTGTCCAAATCTTGCTGGTCTGGCATACCAAATTATAAGTCTGTTATCTTTGATGAGTTTAAGTGATATATAATAAAACAGGCTCCTATGTATATGAATAGTAAAGTTAAAACTTGTATCAGTTCTGTAAAGTTTGAAATGATGTAATTTGATTGATAAATTAAAACTATCAAAATCATCTCTCATGTAATGTATATAAACTTTTATATATCCTTCTTGACCGGCTCAAGGATTATATATCTAAACTTTATCCTATGAAAAAAATTAGAAATGTACTGCTATTGAATTATTGTTTTCCCGTACTATAATTTGCCGATACCTTTTCCATATGAAGTGACCTTATCCACGAAACATCTCGTTAGAACTTCGACAACCGCACAGCGCAATTGCGAGGGAAAACAGTGATTAAAAGAATTTAAACAAACGTTCACTGGACGGTAAATAGCGTTAATTATTATACCTCAGTATGTTTTTTCTATATAAAAAAGAATGAAATATTTCTGCTATTTCATTCCACAGACTATTTGCCAGTCAATAGTTACAAAGATTATTAACCCGGTCAATAGTTTTATGAACATATTTCCCGAACTTTTTCATACTAATTTTTCATTGGACAACAATGACGTCATTGACTAATCTGCTTGGATTTGTGCGCTTGGCAACGTTACACTGTGAAATATCGTAAACGGTATAATCTGTATGTGTCTGTCGTTGCAATTTCAAATTAATATATTACTTTAATACCAGAAGCAATTAAAAAAGAAAAAGAAAATCTAAGTGACATATTTTAAGAACTAAAACATAACAAATGTATGGTACGGGTCTGTCGTCGTCTTCATATTCTGGGATTGCTTTGGTGTACGGTAATATATTTTAGCTAGCGTTTATTATATGCACGGAAATTTTACACAAGGATTCCTGGTCCTGATTACAGTAAATAAAGTATTAAAGTATTGACAAAAAACCACAAGGGCAAACAAAAAAACCCTGATAGTTCATCTTGTGCATGTTTATGTGACTATATTTTAGAAGGTAGAAGACCTGGATGCTTCATATCTTGTATGCAGATACCTTATGTTACGAAGTTTCTGTCAATCATATGTCCATCGTCCTTGACCTCCTTTTCATAGTTCAGCGACTGCTTGAAAATCTTTTTAGTTTTTTTGTCAAGTGAATTTCTCACTTATTATGAGTAATAGGATAACTATATTTGGTATATGGGTTTGCATTGTCTACATGTCCGTCAGACAGAGTTCACCTGACCTCGACCTCATTTAATGGATCAGTGATCAAGGTTAACGTTAAAGTTACGTGATTAGGTCCGTCTCTCAAATACTATAAGCAGTAGGTCAACTATATTTGGTGTATGGAATGATTGTAATGGGTAAATGTCAGTCTGACAGGTTTCATCCAACCTTGACTTCATTTTCATGGTTCATTGGTCAATGTTAAGTCTTTGGGTTTTGGTCTGTTTTTCAAGTACTATAAGCAATACGTCAACTATATTTGGTGTATGGAATGATTGTAAGGTGTACAAGTCTGTCTTGCAGGTATCATCTGACCTTGACCTCATTTTCATGGTTCATTGGTCAATGTAAAGTTTTTGTGTTTTTGTCGGTTTTTCAAGTACTTTAAGAAATAGGTCAACTATATTTGGTGTATTGAAAGATTGTAAGGTGTACATGTCTGTCTGGCAGGTATCATCTGACCTTGACCTCATTTTCATGGTTCATTGGTCAATGTTAAGTTTTTGTGTTTTTGTCTGTTTTTCAAGTACTATAAGCAAGCAATAGGCCAACTCTATTTGGTGTATGGAATGATTGTAAGGTGTATATATCTGTCTGAAAGGTATCATCTGACCTTGACCTAATTTTTATGGTTCAATGGTCAATGTTAATTTTTTGTGTTTTGGTCTGTTTTTCAAATACTCATAGCAATAGGTCAGCTATATTTGGTGTATGCAATAATTGTAAGGTGCATATGTCTGTCTGGCAGGTAACATCTGACCTTGACCTCATATTTATGGTTCATTGGTCAATTTTAAGTGTTTGTGTTTTGATCTGTTTTTCAATTAGCATACGCAATAGGTCAACTATATTTGGTGTATTAAAAAATGTAAGGTCTATATGTCTGTCTGACACAATTTATCTGACCTTGACCTCATTGTCATAGATTTTTTAAAATGTTAAGTTTCTGTAATGTTTTTAGTAAAACCTTTATCTTTAAGATTTTTAACACAAAATCAATGGTCAGTAAAGCAGGCGAAACATTTCAGCGTGTGCACTCTTGTGTTAATTTTGTTATTAGGTTGCTCTGAGTGACATATACCCTACATTTTAATCATAACAACAGATAACTGTAAATTTTATCATTTACTAGCTTTTCATAAAAATGCTTCAATTCTAATTTTATTTGTTCTCTTATAGTTTTAGATATTTTATGTGAGGAATATTTCTTTAGTGTGTCCAAATCCATACCTGTTTCTTCTACCATATGTTTTACATATGAAAACCAAGAATAAATTACCAAAAAGTCCAGGTTTTGAGACAAAACAGGATTCTTTCACAAGAGGATTAATGTCATCAGCTAATAAGATACACTATAGATTGAAATTTAATATTAAGTTCCAGAGGAATTCTCCCCAAATCAGCTCTTGCTCCTAGATTTGATGAACTTTTTTTTCTAATACCCAGTGTATATTTACAAAACTGTAGGTGTAACTTTTCTATAGGTGTTTTATCAATGAAATAAAAAGGGTCCAATTGTTTTCCTGAATTATTTGCTCTCTTTTTGGCAATAAAATATGTTATATAGGAATCCCAAAATGATATTAAGCTGTAAGTTTAACTAATGAATCAAAGATATTATTTGCTACTTTAACTGGTATATTATTCAATGAACTAGTTTATGACTTCATAGCAAAGAGAATTTTTTTAGCTTTTATTGGTTAGATCTATAGTACTGTGAGAAAAATTTCTATTATTTTTAATTATCATTCCTAAAAATTTATACTCATTTGTGTCTGATATTGGAATATCTTTGTATGTTACAAATGAGTGAGCTGTTTTGAAACCGTTTTGCTTTATAATCATAGTTTTAGTTTTATTTACATTTACACTTAATTGCCAATTAGCACAAAAAACACTTAAATTGTTAAACTATTTTGTAATCCCTCTTTAGTTTAAGATATTAATAGAAGATCATCTGCAAATAGAAGAGAGTTAATATTTGAAGAAACCAATGTTACTGGATCTGAATTTCTTTTATCTAACTCTTTGATAACATCATTTATAAAAATATTAAATAATGTGGGACTCAACAAATCCCCTAGTTTTACCCCTCTTGAAATATTAAGATATTTTGAAAATTGACTTTCATATTTAATTGAAGATTCTGTTTTATTATATTGCTCTTTTATATCACTGAAAAAATGTTTTCCCATGCCTGTTTTCACTAGTTAATACAAAAGACCTATTCTCTACACAGAATCAAAAGATTTACGAAGGTCGACAAAACAAACATATAACCCCTTTTTAGCTCACCTGGCCCAAAGGGCCAAGTGAGCTTATCTCATCACTTGGCGTCCGTCGTCCGTCGTCCTGCGTCCGTCGTCCGTAAACTTTTACAAAAATCTTCTCCTCTGCAACTACTGGGCCAAATTTGACCAAACTTAGCCACAATCATCATTGGGGTATCTAGTTTAAAAAATGTGTCCAGTGACCCGACCAACCAACCAAGATGGCCGCCATGGCTAAAAATAGAACATGGGGTAAAATGTAGATTTTGGCTTATATCTCTGAAACCAAAGCATTTAGAGCAAATCTGAAATGGGGGTAAAATTGTTTATCAGGTCAAGATCTATCTGCCCTGAAATTTTCAGATGAATCTGACAACCCGTTGTTGGGTTGCTGCCCCTGAATTGGTAATTTGAAGGAAATTTTCCCGTTTTTGGTTGTTATCTTGAATATTATTATAGATAGAGATAAACTGTAAACAGCAATAATGTTCAGCAAAGTAAGATCTACAAATAAGTCAACTTGATCAAAATGGTCAGTTGACCCCTTAAGGAGTTATTGCCCTTTATAGTCAATTTTAACCATTTTTCGTAAATTTTTGTAATCTTTTACAAAAATCTTCTCTGAAACTACTAAGACAAGTTTAACCAAACTTGTCCACAATCATCATTAGGGTATCTAGTTTAAAAAATGTGTCCGATGACCCCGCCCGCGAACCAAGATGGCCGACATGGCTAAAAAATAGTACATAGGGTAAAATGCAGTTTTTTGCTCATATCTCTGAAACCAAAGCATTTATAGCAAATCTGACAGGATAAAATTGTTCATTAGGTCAAGATCTATCTGCCCTGAAATTTTCAGACCAATCAGGCAACACGTTGTTGGGTTGTTGCCCCTGAATTGGTAATTTTAAGAAAATTTTGCAGCTTTTGGTTATAATCTTGAATATTATTATAGATAGAGATAAATTGTAAACAGCAATAATGTACAGCAAAGTAAGATCTACAAATAAGTCAACATGACCAAAATTGTCAATTGACCCCTTAAGGAGTTATTGCTCTTTATAGTCAATTTTTTACAATTTTCATAAATTTTGTAAATTTTTGTACATTTTTTCAAAATATTTTCCACTGTAACTACTGGGCCAAGTTCATTATAGATAGAGATAATTGTAAGCAGCAAGAATGTTCAGTAAAGTAAGATCTACAAACACATCACCATCACCAAAACACAATTTTGTCATGAATCCATCTGTGTCCATTGTTTAATATGCACATAGACCAAGGTGAGCGACACATGCTCTTTTTATGTATGCATTTATCAATTAAAGATTTTAATACAAATATGCTGTCAGATGTCCGATGGTTTTCTCTGAAATCAAACTGATTTTCACTTTGTTGCCCGTCTATAATTTTATTCAATCTGTTATTTAAATTGCATTATATATTTTTGGAAGACAATTAATTAAACGGAAATACCTCTGTAATTGTTGGGATCATTCATGTCTTTATGAAGAGCTATCATGCAAGATATTTTCCATGTATTTGGATATTTACCTGTTTTCAAAATAAGATTAAAAAGTTAAATAAATGACTTTCCATCACTGGTTATATATATTTAATAATTTCATTTAAAATTCTGTCTGGTCCTGCTGATTTTCCAGTTTTTAATAGGGAAATTACTTGTTTAATTTCTGTAAGGGTAATAGGTTTATCAGTTTCTTTTTTATATTCAAATTTTGTTTCCAAATGTAAAACAATTGTAACATCGGGGCGCTTCTAGGACAATGACAAATGAACCCTGTTCAGAAAGGAATAGTTTGTCCTGCTTGCAACTCTAAATATCCCTCAACAAAAGTCAAGAAAAAAGTCATCTCTACTCGACAGTATACGCTTGCCATGTTTAAATGATTGTAGTTTGTCAAAAATTGTGATTGTCGTGATTACCCTGCCCTACAGTCTGGTCTGTATAAATTGAATTGATATCTTAACTATGGTTAGCCTGATATCGCACTGCTTATGGTAAAACTCTTGTTCTGTAAATTTGTATTTGTAATTAATGAATAAAGTTTGAATCCTCGTAAAGGTTTAGAGTTGTGGTAAAGCAAGTTACCCTTTACCTGAGTCCGTAATCCCTTGTCTTGCTTGCATGTAGCTTTTAATTACAATATTTGCAAGCATATGAAAAAAATATAGATTGATTTACATGCACTGTGTTATCCGTGTGTTTTCAAACAAAAAACTATGGGAATCCATAGTTGAGTTCGGATGCGTCAACAGCATACGCGTCTTTTGCTATGCATGCATCACACGCCATGCGAATCACAATCAGTCAAAATGTAACAAACAGGAATAGGACAAAAATGGTAAATTTAGTTTCTTCTTAGTATTCAAATATATTAAACTGCGAAATGATGTTGCTAGTGGGTTGAGACGCGATAAAGCTTAAAGGTAACGCAATTTCTGATGGCGATTAAAACTTACTTTGTATAAATATAAGGAAATGCGGTATGATTGCCAATGAGACAATTATCCTCAATAGTTCAAGTGGATGCAAGAAATTATAGGCAACCGTACGGCCTTCAACAATGAGAAAAGCCCATACCGTATAGTCGGTTATAAAAGGCCCCGACATGAAAAATATGAAACAACAATTGAGAAAACTAACGGCCTAATTCATAACAAAACACTTTAGGAAACCAAATATGATGTGTGTCCATTTCAGTCGCCGGTTCTTCCTCATAACTCTGTACATATAACCGAATTCGTATTTACATGAGCAAAACACACAGGTGCCACATGTGGAGCAGAATTTGTTAACCTTTCCGTGACACGCTAGATAACCCCCAATTTTCAGGTAGGTTCGTGTTGATCAGTGTTCAGTTTTCTATGTAGGGTTTTGTAGAATTTGTCTTCACCTCGTTCTTCGACTTTTGCCATGGCGTTGAAAGATTGTCTTCGACTATTACATTTGAATATCCCTTTTGAATCTGCCGCCTTTTTTTTAAGAAGTTTTGTGTCAGAAGCATAGCCCTGTTCATGAAGTCGGTACTGCGTAAATATGCACGAGCTTAAGGTATCGATTGAGATACGAAAACGCCATACGATGTAGCAGAGAATATGCTACTATTGAGAACTGGAATATTGACATTGGAAATTTAAAACCATCATGTCACGTTTGTCATAGATTTTGTTTGAAGTCCCCAATCTGTGTCACTATCAAAGAAAAGGTCTAAATATGAAGCAGCTATTTTAGATTCAGTAGTATTCTTTATCACTCTCTGGGATATATGAATGTAAGCACTGGCTGAAATGTGGGTTATAGAGTGACAGGACATTTTGATATATCTAAACTTCAAATTAAAGAACTAGGCAAAATGGTTTTCTTTAAGTCTTTGAGAAGGTTCTGTATTTCCAATTGCAATTAGGACTGTAAACACCGTAATGTTATGTTGACTTGTGCATCATTCGTATCAACTTTTATAATAAACAATTTCCTTCGGTATATCATCATTGAATGATCATCAATTTCAAGTTAATTTCAACTTTACAACTATCAACTGTGTCAAAATAACGCGATTAACCGATAGGGGTATATAACACAACTGAACCACTGCTGCTTTTGAGAAAATAACACTATTGAAAGGATTAAACTGAATGTTTCAACGGACTTCCCAGTTTTGTCATCTTTTTGGGATTTTGTCGGATCTCATTTTCCTAACTATACAACTAAAACACTTCTTTCGTATATTCGTATATCAAGACAACCTCAGAAGGAATTACGAACATCCCAAAAAATCAAAGAAACAATATAAAACATCATTAAATACAATTAAAAACCAATTGTTCAGAGAACAATTGAAGGTCTTTCAACCCCAAATGGACATATCTAGACAGGAAAATATACAATTTTGGTTTAAAATGTCAATTTTGCTGTCAAATAATAGCTTCATTTATGCTGATTCCGAAAATATATGTTTTTTTTATATATTTTTGCTAAAAATAAGGAGATAAGTAGGTACAAAATGCTACTTCCGGTTACAATTAAACCTTACTCCACAATGATTCCAAAAATATAAAGTTCTAGTGAATTGTACATAAAAAAAATGCAAAAATGGCTACGTCCGGTTGACCTCTCTCAAGGTCATATATCTGTAACCCAATGTAAAAGACCCTTTGACTTTATCTTGAATCAATAAGAATTTAGAGAAAGGTCAAAATCGGGAACGTCAAATCAGACTATGACTTTGACCTCAATTTCAAGGTCAAAGAACAAGGGCCTCAAATCAAAAGACCCTAGGTCTCTACTATATATGGTTAATGAGTAATAAAATATAAGAGGGGAGAAAACTCTCATTAAGGTAGCACAATACAAAGATTTTTTCACCCCCAATCAGACAACTTTAAACTGATGTAATTTCTTTCATCTAGCTTTAAATTTTATAAATGAGGTACCAAAAGAAAGAAGAAAGATTAATCTTTCAAATGGTGATATTTCATTATGACATGATTATTACATAATTAATTATTATGTAATTAGTTGCTATATTGTGATGTCCACACTTGAATGAAATTAGCTTCTTTGTTATTCATACCATCCCAAAATATTTTATAGATTCTTGTGTAACACAGTTTGACCTCCAAAAGGGTGTCTCAGATTTTTCCTATTGTATTTCCTTCTCTCATAAACCTTCAATGAAGTTTGCAACCTCAATTCATAAGAGATCACTAAATTAAATTGGCCAGGGTATAAAATTTGTTCTATTGATGTTTTTGGAAATCTGAGACACCCTTTTGAAGATAACTGGTCAAGGAACAACATGTGTGAAAATCAAGCATATAGGGGCACCCATCGAGGAGCTAATTTCATTTAAAACTACATTTTCATGACAAAAATGAATGTGTCACTATTGAATAAATACGGATTTTCCTACTTGTACCCCTTTAACTTCAATATAATTCACACATGTATCATGGGGATACTTCAGGATTGGCCTTTAATCATAAATCAATTAGGTTTTGACCAGTTAGAAAGCATTCCAATTCAGCAATTCTAAATATATATAAAGAAAACGCACACCCTATGCATCAAAAATTAGATCTGGCGGGAGATGTTATATCATTATTGAACTTGCTGTAAGTCAGTTGCTACTGATATGGTCAAAACTCCGCCCACCATGATAAACCTTTACTATTAATTATGGAACGCCACAGCTGTCTTATGTGGAACTCTGATGTTACTTTATGTTGTTTTATTATTACTTGATGATATTTTGTCTTTACTTAATATGGTTTTGACATTACGTAATGATGTTTTGATATAACTCAATATGGAATAGTCATTACTTAATGATATTTCGATATTACACGATATGGTTTCGTATTGACTTGATATAGTTTTGTCATTCCTCAATATGGTTTTGTCATTACTCGATGTGGTTTCACCATTATTTAATGTGGTTGTGTCATTAGTCAATGTGGTTTTAACATTACTTGATGTGAATGTGACTTAACGTTATGTAGTTGTTTCATTACATGATGTGGTTTTGTTATTTTGTAATGATGATTTGCCTATTCTTTATATGGTTTTAACATTACGTAATGATGTTTCAAAATTTGACGATTTTACACTACATGATGTGTTTGTTTCATTATTTGATGTGGTCCTGTCATTCTTTGATGTAGTTATCCCATTACTTGATGAGGTTGGTTATTAATGTCTAATACAGTTAATCTACAAGAATGTCTGGTAGCGCTATTCTCCTAGGATTTCTCCTTGCATACTGCATCACCACCTCCTTTGGATTTACAGTAATGTTCCTATTGGCATACATCATGATTAAGGAAGATAACCTGCTTGTTGACATTGTTGATCGTAAGTATGTCTTCACAAGTCTCAGTCTACTGATACTTCTCTCACACTCACAGGATGTTACTGGAAATATTCCACAAATTTTCAAAATTTGGTGCACATTTGGAAATATAATAGAGTTACAGTTTTGTAATGCTGTGTTTATATCTGAAGGTGGATCAGACTCATTTGCCCATTTCAATTTCCACATATGCATTTCTTGTTCCAGTGTTGATGGAGATGGTAAATCATCCACAAAGTACTCAAAATCATTAGTTGAGGATTGAGAAATCATGGCAGGTATTACCTGAAGTCCCATGGATGCCTTGAATTGCAGGTCACCAAACCTTGAGTTCATTTCTGTTAACATGTGATCAAGCAGAGGGATAGCAATTGTTTTCTTTTAATAATCCTCTGTTGATTCACATGGCACAT